CCACTTCTATTCAACATAGTGCTCGAAATCCTCGCCACAGCAATTAGGCAAGAGAGGGATATTAAGGGTGTCCAAATGGGGACAGACGAGATCAAACTCTCTCTCTTTGCCGATGATATGATATTATATCTAGAAAACCCTAAAGACTCATCTAAGAGACTCCTAGAACTGATAAACGAATTCAGGGGCAGTCTTAATAGGATCCTGTGAAGGTAAGGCCAGTGTCAAGAGGGGGAGAAAGGGAGGGGACGGCCTTTCAAGTAAGGGGATAGCGTGAGCAGAGACAAAGTGCTGAAATGTGCACAATGATGTGTTCAGAGCTAGTTTAAGTGAAGCAAAAGTTTTATGAAGACAAATGATATGAAATAGGTTAAATAGCACAGTCAAAAGCCAAGCTGGAGAGTTTTGAGTAACAGAGAACAGTTTGAACTTCATCCTCTTTAGGCATGTGGAGCCACAAAGGGTTTCGATCAGTGAGGTCATGTGTCCAATGTTGTGTTTCAGGAAGAAGAATCTTGAAGAAATAGAGTGATTCAGAGTAGAACAAAGAGAAAAGGTAAAGGCAGGGAATTAAAGGATACTTAAAAATGGAGCAAATAATTCAGTATTAACTTACTGTGTGTTACAGACAGCAGGGAAAGGTACATGCCTACGCCCGGTTAGAAAGGAGAGTGAGATAATCTAGAAAGGAGAAGCAGACCTGTGACTAGCAGGCTGGATTCCTAGAAGATGCTCCTGATAAAGGAACACATGCCCCTCTGTCCATGGAGTGCCCCTTCATTGGGCCTGCAGCAGGCTTAACTAGCTCCCTAGGGTCTGATCTCCCACCTGTGATTCATCCTAACAGGACCAAGAATAGTCCCGTAGGGCCAGGCTGTGATTTCCATGGCCTTTCTACTTTGGAACATAGCTTCATATTTTCCTGCTAATGCCAGTGACCTCTTTAACAGAGGAAAAAAAAAAAAATGACTTTTGTTTCTCATTTAAAGCTTAAAGGAAAATTCCTTTTTGAGGCAAAATTTTATCGTGAATATCATTTCATCAGTGTTAGTGGCTGTTTATAAGTCCTTTTCAATTTTGATTAGAAGCAAGGGAGGGATTTTAAAGGACATGAATGCTGTTACCTACAGTTGTTGAAGACACCTTCAGGTAGACATAACAAGAAGATGAAGAAAGAAATAACAGGAATAGAACACATACTAGAGAGGTCTTCCACCTTTGCTTAAAATTGACCCTGTTAACTATGAGGAGAGGAAGAGATGACATAAACTACAGTCAGGCATTTTGGTCATATATTTGCAAAGGCAAATTTTTAAACATAATTTGCTGGGCAAAGAAAGTATCAGGTTTTTAGGACATCTTTTAATGACACTCCATTAATTCTGTGCTAGAATTTCTACATATGTGGGACTACTGATTGTATTGAGAAATTCTATATATGTGGGGTTACTGATTGTATTGAAAGATCAAGGAATCCATTTGTCATCCTCTGTCTACAGCTTCTAGGTTACTATACAAATGAAAATATCCCCTTCTAAAATCATTTCTCTAGCCGAAGAAATTTTTTAGAAGGAATTTCCAAATAGTACTTGATCTAAATTAAAAGTGTCCAATAACTTCACATTCTTTAAACTTTTTCATACTAGGAATCTTTAAAAATATAATAAGCAAGCCTAATGAAAAAGAAGAGGCCATTGCTTTGGAAATCCAGTCTGATATATTGCTTATTTTATCTGGTCTTTGTGAACATCATATTCAAAGGAAGGTATGTATGCCTGTGAAAGTTTTGTTCAGATCTCCCAGTCACCTAACACTATAAACTGTTATAACACTTTTTTAGTAAGTGCCCATACATTTTTTTATCTTGTGAAAATTTGATTTTTTAATAATTAGAGTATAATTATACACAGTAAAAGGTACAGATTTTAAATATATAGTTTGATAGGTTTTGATGAATGTATACACCCATTTAACTAATACCCCAGTTAAAACAGAATATTGCCATCTCACTAAAATTTCCTTATTTCCTTAGCAGCCATCCCCCTACCCACCTCCAGGCAAACTGCTATTTTTTTTCTATTCCTATAGATTGGTTTTCCCTATCCTTTAATTTTATATGAATGGAATCACATAGTATTTACTCTTATGTCTGGTTTCCGTCATCCAGCATCATAGTTCTGAAATATATCCATGTTGTTTCGTGTATCAATAGTTCATTGCTTTTTATTGCTGAATAGTATTCCATTGTATGAATATACCAAAATTTGTTTATCCATTCTTCTATTGATAGAAACTTGGGTTGTTTCCATTTGAGACTGTTAGAAATAAAGCTTCAGTGAACCTTCTGTACTAGTCTTTTTGTGGATATAGTACATTCATTTCTATTGGGTAAACACCTAAGAGTGGAATTGATGTATCATAAAGTAGGTGTATGTTTATCTTTATAAGGAACTGCCAGTCTTCCAAAGTGGGCTCTATCGTTGCAGATGTTATTTGGGGTTTGAGTTGGGTTCATACCTAAAACTAAAAGTTAGAACAAGCACTTAATTCCCTTCGATCTTTTTTAGTTCCATTGTAAACTCTGAGTCTCAGAGATTGATAATTTAAATATTTAATAGCAAGAGACAGAATTGGAAAGATAAAAACCAAAAATGATGAAAGTTTCCATAGATAGATTTTGGTAGGAGGCAACAGGAACAGTGAATGCATGCTTAGCACCAGACTTCGGTGCAACTTCTTATATTCTCCCACCCTGTGCCTGTGCTCTTCTGGAAAAATAATCATAATCTTGCTTACTAGGAACCAAAACTGAGCAAGACAATGAGTTGGTAAGGGAAAAATATTAAGTAGTAATAACTTCATATAAATTATTGAAGGTTTTACCTACCAGTTATACACTTATTTCTCTTTGGGGATTATTAGAAAATCATCCATGATAGTTATTACTATCTAGTATTGATTTGACGTGGTGCTGGACTGTATTTATTATAACATGGAAGAAAATCATGGGGCGAGTCTTACAGTTGTTTTTTTTAAAAAAAAAAAGAGGGAAAAAACAAAATCTAAAGGGACGTTAAGCTGGCATGTTGAGTGATGCCCTCTCTTAAAATGATTAGCTTTACAATAATTTGTTTTAAATTCTTGAGAACAAGTATGAATTTTTTAAATTGCATTCAAAATGCTATTTAATATTTTCCTAA